ACCCAGAGCTCACTGTTTTGGCAAGTCTGGCTAGCCTGTTTGCTCCCTCTGCCTCCCAAGTGCTAGGATTAAAGGCGTGTGCCACCACACCTGGCACCCCTTTATTTTTTGAGACAGGATCTCTCATTGAGCTGGAAGTTCACCAGTTCAGCTGGACTGGCTGGCCAATGGGCTTCAGGGATGCACCTATCTCTGCTCTACCAACTTCTGGGGTTTCAGGTACAAGCCACTATACTTGGCTTTTTACATGAGTTCTGGGGACTCTGTACTTAGGTTTCCAAGCTTGCAAGTCAGGCACTTTACTGATTGAGCCAAGTCCCTAGGCTTCTACCTTCTTTTTTGAGACAGGGTCTCTCCCTGAATCTAGAGTTCACTAATTCAGTTAGACCGTCCAACCAGCAAGCCCCAGAGATCCTCCTGTCTCTGCCTCCCTAGTGCTGGGATTGCAAGCTCACACCACTGTTTCTTACATGGGTTCAAAGTCAGATCATCTTATTTACCCAGCAAGCACGTTATGGGCCAAGCCATTTCCCCAGGCCCTAAGGTGGTGTTTCTGCCTTGCCTCAGTCACCTTCAGAACCACTCCAGTTCTGCATAAACTTCACTTGACCACTCACTAATGCTGGAAGTTCACACTCTCCAAAATGGTCACATCTTAAGGTTCAGTCTTTTACAATGGTCTCACAAACTTCTTACTTCCTATGTTTTCCTTCCTTTCATATCCACAGAAGGTATGGAAGAGGGGAGTAGCAGGGAAGGGGGAGGGGCTGATGACACAGACAGAGGCAGAGACAGAGAGAAGAAAAACACAGACACAGTTTTCCTTTGCTTTCTAGGCTAGGGCTTGCCCTTGAACTTCTGCCTAGCCAGTAGAAAGAAGTTCCACTCCCAAGACCAGGTCAAGGCTGACAAAGAACAGGACCCCACCCAGACCTGTTAAGATTCTCCACAGCATATATGTCTGTAACATATATGGTAGTGACAGTGTATGATGTAGAGGATGTTGTGGATAGTACATACTATGAGGAAGTCGGGACTGTCCCAACTTTACCCAGCTCATCAGCATCTGGCTTTGAACTACAGATCACAGGGACCTGAACAGACACCCCCATTCATTGCCTGATCTCAAGGTTGTCTCAAATAATTGTGTATCAATAAAACACCCAGAGAAGAACCAGGGTATGTGCCAGTCACCGTAAAGAGTCCACTGCCCACAGGAAATGAAACATTTACTTGTGGCAGACCCAATGCACACTCATGAATAACAAAGTTCCTTATGCCTTTGCTTTGGATGTGGCACCACTTTTGGTGGGAAATTCAGTGAAAAGTATGTCTGTGATGAGTACAAACACTCACTTCAGGGGTGCTCATGGCAAAGCCCAAAGCTGTAAAATCAAACTAGGTACTCCTGACCAGTGGCCAAGCAGTTCTGTCTTAGAGCCTTTCTAAAATCTCTTTCCCCGAAATTTCATTTCTGAAAGCTTTCGTGTCCTGCCTTTCATGTGGCTCCTACTATAAACCATTATAGAGCTGTAAAGAGGCTAGTCATGGACCATGAAAGTACATGTCTGTCCCCAATAATGAGCAATCCCCTAGTTGTGGCCACTGGTGATATAACCAGGACCGTTTATCTCTTCAATAATAAATTCACAATATGTTGTAGTGTGAAGGTGTGCGAGTATGTGTGGGTGTAGGTGTGTATACGTGTGTATACAGAGGCCAAAGATCAATGTCAGGTGTCTTTCTAAATTGTTCTTCACATTTTTTGAAATAGAGTCTGTCAATGAGCCTGGAGCTCACCAATTCAGCTAGTCTGGCTGGCCACTAAGCCTCAGAGATCCTCCTGTCTCTACCTCCCCAGTGCTGGGATTACAGGTGCACACCACCACACTGGACCTTTCACATGGGTTCTGGGGCAGTTGAACTCGTGTCTTCATGCTCCCCCAGCAAATATTTCACCAGCTAAGCCATCTCTTCAAACCTAGGTTCATAACTGTTTAAGACCGCAGTCCCAAACTTTTAGAAACTGGCTTCACTGATTTTGAGTGGAGCAAGAAACATTCATCCTTAATGTCTTTGAACAATGACATTCACACTTGCACTGTGCAAAGAGCTTTATATTGGCAGAGAATCCAAGGCCAGCCACCTACTGACTGCTGCTCTCACTCTAGGGTATGAGAAAGCCAGCAAGGATGACTGCAAGTGACAGAATAACTGGTACCAGAATAAACTTCTTGAAATGGGGTGGCTCACAGGTACATTTAATCAGCAGCAAGGAAGTTCTTATGCCGCTGCAAGTTGGCATCAGCCAGCTTCCATGCAACTTGCTTTAGAATGGAACTCCTGGGGACTATAATGTTTTAAATTCTTGAAGGCAGATAAAACTTAACCAGAGTAACTTCAAAATTGGCCTGAATAATGATCTCTACGTGGACTGGACATTTTCATCAGTTCCAGTGGACTTCCTTCAGGTGTTCTGGACATTTCTATCTTACCATTTGGGGGTATATGCCTGTCATATTCTTGCTGGTATTATTAGTTTGACAATGATTTCCAATGCTTATCCAATGCTTAGTGCTTTTAGTCACCATATAAGGTAGTCTTCAGAGAAAGACACATATAGATCATTCAGTGTTACAGATTGAATTGTGTACCTTGAGATTTAATGTTTAAGACCTAACCCTCAATGTGATTGTCACACAGGGCCTATAAGTAAATCATTAAAGAGAAAAGAGGCCACAAGGATGAGGTGTTCATTCTCTCCTTCTCTCTCTCTTTCTTTCCTCTCTCTCCTGATGTGAGGCAGATAGAAAAAGGAAGCCCTCACAGAATGTCAGTGCTTTGATTTTGGACTTCCAGCCTCTAAAGAGTGAGGAAATGAATGTCTGTTGTTTAAGCCATTTTGTTACAGCAGCTGAACTAATACACCCAATCTATGATATGACCATCACAGCCTGAGAAAGACACAGTGCATGGAATTCACAGCTGTAACCCTGTCTACCACATATTGTCAAGTATGGCATTTATTTTAGCTCAAAACAGCTCTGCGACCTAGCCTGTGTTACAACAGGATGAACATATTAAATCTGCCACTTCTGAGCTGCCAGCATCTTCAGCAAATTCCTGAAGTCCTCTCAATCTGTTTCCACCAGCAGTCAGTATTTGCAGGCCTCTGCAGCACACTTAGCAAGACTTAGTACTTGCATTAGTCACTTTCCTGTTGCTGTGATAGAAACACTGACCCAACCAATTTATAGAAGGAAGAGTTTATTTGAGCTTACAGTTACAGTGGAATTACAGTCCATCATGGCAGGGAGGTAAGGTGGCTGGAGGTGGCTGGAGCAGGAGCAGCAGAAGCTAAACTCTCACATCATCATGCAGGCACAGGAAGCAAGAGAGCAACTGGAGATCTGGCAAGGCTTAAGAACTCTCTAAGCCCACCCCCAGTGATGTGCTTCCTCCAGGATAGCCACACCTTCTAAAACCTCCCAAAACAGCGCCATCATCTGGGGACAAAATGTCCAAATACTTGGAGAGTATTGGACAAACCACCACAGTACTGTTGGGCATTATTCATTCAAACTACCACAGTACTGTTGGGCATTATTCATTCACCATGGAGAAACTCATTCTGTGGGTTTTTGCATGTTTGATAGTTTCTAAATGTGCAAAAAGAATACTAAAGGTCAGTTTCTTCAAAGACAAAAATACTATTAAAACACCTGTTAATGTTGCAGTGAGGGTGCCTCTGCTTTTACACCTGAACATCTCTATCTTCCTGAACTTTCAGGTGGTTTGATCCATGAACCACTCAACAATGACATGTGGTCAGTCATCAGGCACAAGGCCAAGGCTAGTTTCTATGTAGATGAAGCATCTTAGAAATCCATTTAGCTATCCTAACTGTTTTCATCCATAGAAGTTCTCCTCAGAAAAGGAAACAGTTAATGAATCAGATTCATCCATACCAAGATCACAAAGGTAATAGTTACTAAGAATTCATGAGGTATCGATGTATTAGCAGCAATACAATCCCAGAACTGCACATATGTCACCTCAGAAGCCCTTTAGTCAGACACCACATTTCCTCCTTATAGAAGAGGAAACTGAAGCACAGGAAAGTTAAGGAACTCACCTAGGGCCTAGGATGAGAAGGGGCAGACTACTGAAAAGCATCCTGGGACTAGAACGCTGGGCTGTCAACACCACATGGTCCCTAACCTGTTATCTAGGCCCTGGCTTTAGTGCCAGTCAGTCTCCCTCCTACCCTGTGTGACAAGTAACACCCCCCAAAAGACCTGACATCAAGGAAGTTCCCGCATACTTCTCGGTGATACATAGCGGCAAACCAGGACTGGAACCCCAACCCGGTATTTCCAGACCCCACCCCACCGCAGCTCTGTTCCCTGGTTAACTCAATACAGTGCCTTAAGAAGAAAATGCCCTACACACATGAGGTGGGTGACTAAGCAGGAGTTCCTGCCACTATTCAAGGCACGTCAACACCTGGAACCCACCTGCCCTCAGTCCACTTTATGAGGATTTAGGTTGACATTGTAAGGTCTCTGAGCTTTGTGGGGAATTGGATTTATGCAAAAATAATCGTGATTCATGAGTGAGAAGTAACTTTAAATAAACGTGGATCATTTAGCCATAATAAAAGTCGAGGGGCCTTAAGTGTATTTAAGAACCTGAAGGAACGGTTATGAGCTTGGGGCGTGGAGGAGAGGACAGCTGTCCTCCATCTAGAAGAATGATTTAAGTGTCTGGTAGGTCTTGGCACTCCTCCTTCCCACCCTGCCCCCTACACACACCTGGTCCTAGTCTACTTCCACAGTAAGGCAGACCCAAATGGCTCTCAAGCTCTGCTCCAAGCGCCCAATCTCTAGAGTGTGTGGCCTCCTGCCTACAGCATGCTGACCACACCCTGCCTGGGCTCCGGTGGCCACACCCCCGTCTCCATCCTGGCGGGGGCGGGAAGGGAAGGAGGGCGTACTCACCTTCAGATGGACCGGGAAGGACCGCTCCTGCTGGAGAGGCCCTAGCAGAGTCTGCTCCACGCTGACCAGCTCCGAGGTCGAGTCCACCACGCGGGCCAGCGCGCTGCGCATGGCCATCCGCGCCAAGGTGCAGGGCCCGCGGTCCCGGGGGAAGGGCAGCAGCTCGGCGCCCCCCTCTGCGCCCCGCAGCCCGTCCGCCTCCGGGTAGCCTGGCGCCCCGGCGCCCCGACCCCCAGCCCCCTCGCGCCCAGGCCCGCGCCGGGCTCGCATCTGACCTGAGCGCCGAGCTGGGGCGCCTGGCACGTGGTCCGGGCCGCGCGGGCTCCCGGGGGTGCCAGGTCCGTCCCCCCAGCCCCACTCCTGCTGCAGTAGCTGCAGCGTCTGCAGAGCCACCATTTGGTGGCTAATGGAAGCCACTAAGGGCGCGGGGCTGGCCATCGCCCAGGTTGGCAGCTGAGCGCTAGGCGAGCAGGTGGAGCAGGCGAAGGAGTGGGGGTGGCGTTCGGGATCCCGGGGTCACATTTCCTAACTCGGGGCTCCGGGGCCTCCGTGTCTCTCGGCGTGTGTGGCCGGCCCAGCCCCCGGCCCGCAGTCGCTGACCCGCGCCAGCCCCTGCATTCACTTCCAGCCAGAGTGGGCTTGTTTCTGACCCAAAGCGCTGCTGGGTGTGCACTTGAACGTCAGCCAAATGCTGAGCTCTGGTTCTTCCGCCTCTCAAGGGGCTTTGAAGGGAAAACGTGCTGCTTTGTGTGGATGCATCTATCTGCAGATACCCCGCCCCCTCTTCGCTCAAGGACCCTGCCAAGGATCACTGAAGGCACTGAAGGCCCTGAAGACCGGGATAGGGGGTGTCAAAAACACTCCCAGGAACGAAAGTGCACAGAGCCCCAGCCAAACTTGCAAAGGACAATGGTTCCTTCTCTTACCTCCCCTCCCCAACCGCGAGGGCATTATCAGAAACTTTTTGATGTAGCCCCCCCCCCCCGCCCAAACAAGCATCCTAAGTGAACTAGTGCATGGTGGCACAACTGGTAGGACCCGCTCCAGAAGCCCTGCTCTGCCCAGATGAGGAGCCTCCACAGTTTTTGTGCGGAATTCCCAAACGACTGGCAGTGAGGTCAAAGCTAAATCCTTCTATGGGCCAGGAACCCCAAGACAGCTGTACAAATAATTGCTGTTTTTAATTACACCAAATACAGCTACTTCCTTAAGTAAGGGGAAAGGACTGGCAATTTTATGCTTCTTAGACTGGCAACCATCAGTGTGTGTGTAAGGTTGTGCATAAGAAAAAAAGATACTTGAGAGGAAGAATGGAGGACTGTCTCAGGGCTGTGCTGTTTCTGCTTTCTTCCTGCAAGGAAAACTCTTCCATAATCCCCTGAGCCAGGACAGAACAAGCAAAGGTACAGGGCAGGGGAGGACACAGGTGTCAGACAAGGGACCCTGGCAGACCGAGGGTGGGGTCTCACTCTTCCTTCAGAAGCAAGAGTCCTGAGGAGTCACTTCTGGACGCTCTTTGAATGGAAAAGCCATTCCTGCAGGGCTGTTAGTACAGAGGGTGATCAGCCAGAGATATGGAGGGAGATGTGGGTTCCTTTAGGGATTCGTTAACTCTGGAATAGGATGACCTGTGTAATCCTCTTCAAATTCTCTGTGTTTTCTTCTCCTATGAAAATAAACTGAGTGCCAAAGTAAAGAAAACTTTTCTTAAGCAAAATGAGTATGTTCACACTAATTATGTCTAAGTAAAAATGCATGTCTGTACATTGAGAGGAAATCACTTTGGAAAGAAGCAACTCAGTGTTGATTACACTCTCTTGTCATAAAGTTACTCAGGTTCATAGTAAGAAATACAGAAATTCCTCCAAATTATATATTTATTTTTTTAATCCTCAAATGCTGAAGTGCATTAGGTTCACCAGAGACTAAGTGAGAACAGGACAAACCCCTCATTTTCAGAGAACATGCCAGATCTCCAGGGCACCTCCTTTTTCCAGCTACACAGGAAATTCAGTTTCATGGGTTCACCCTTCCACTATCAAATGGCTGACTGCAAAACTCCTGACAGATGGAATTCCATCCAACAGCAGGACTGAAATAACTAGACAGAGCAGAACCCCGGCCCCCCTTCTATACGGCACACTGATTCTGCGAGACATGAGACCAACTGAACTTCAGTTGGTACAGAGATGAGACCCAGAAGACCACAGGTCTTGAGGGGTGATACATCCTGTTCAAAGTCAACTGGTGGCCCTGGTGGCCTTAGGAAGCATTGCATCCATCAACACTGCTTTGTCTGTCCCAGCCATGGGTCACATCTTTATTTGTTGTGGCCTCAAAATGGCTTGTGGCCAAAAGCTGGAGATATGAGACCTTGATTTAACAGTTCAACAGCTTTCTAGGCTATTGAGGTGAATGAACAGCACAAACAGGCCTCCCTTTGTCTAAAACATCTTCAGAATTGCCTATGTTGGGCTACCAGACCAGTGCACACATCCTACCCACTATCTACCCGACTGGAAGCACCGAAGGAAAGGGCTCATTCAAAAAAGCACCAAGGAATACACATCTGCCATCTTTGTTTCAGTATTTATCTCAGTATTTTATGGAACCTGTGTTCTCATTTCCCAGTAGATATTCATTATCCTCCACACTCAGTGCATGGGCTCAGAATGCATGAGCCCACCCATGGAGCATCAGAAAGGAGTCTGGGTCATCAGGTAATAATCAGTCACATGTCACATTCCCACAATTAGTGCTCAAGAATGGCCACGTGCCACAACTTGAACCATTTAGGATGCTTTCAGCTGAATGTACTGTAAAACAATGGAGCTTCACCACATAGGCCAAGAGACCACACAGCAGAAAAGAATGCATTCTCTTTTTGTTAGAAAATGCAGCATAAAATAGCTTAATCAATAACAGTAATTTCTTGTCCCATATTATAAAAAGTCTGAAGGTGCCTCCAGGTTTATTAATGACTCCAGTATTAACAGATCTTTTGTGTTATCCAAACCCCTGGCTCCTTCCATCTATCTGCTATGCCATCCTCAGTACATCAACTTTGTCCTTGGTCCTTGGCTCACTTCCCCTATGATAACTAAGCAACAGTAGCTGCTGGCCTTGCCTCTAGACAACAGTCTCTAAATGAAGAGGGCATCTCTTCCCCAATGTCAGGGAGAGCAGGGAGATGTTTCCCAAAAATATTCAGCTGACTTCCCCTACTTCTAGTCCTAAATTGTAGAACATATCTGTGTCAAGGCAATCATATTTGAGAGGAAATATTAGAATGAACCAAAGCTATGAACCATTCTGTGCCACCATGAGACGACCAAAATTTAATCCTGAAGCATATGGCTGCAAAGAAGATGGAGAATACTCTATAGAAGTCAAGGTTCTGTTATCAAGCAACAGTGATGGCAACAGAACACAATGAGACTTTGCAGTGGCCCTGGGGAAAAAACGTATCTGATCTCCAGGGCCTCTCCTACTTTCAGACACATGGAAACCCATATCATGAAGTTAACCTTCCACTACAAATGGCTGACTGCAATGACCTTTTACAAGAGAAACTGAGGAGATTGATGCTATGGAGCCTCTTCAGCCATCTTATGAGTTTAAGAGGGTCAACACTGAAAATAGAAAAGCCAGTGAGGCTTAGAAATCAGAGCCCTTATTGCATTGGTTGAGCCCTACATAGAGCTGCTTCACCCTCTGAGCTGTTCAGTTATACAAGATGATAAAGTCTCATTTTGTTCAAACCACTTTAGGTTGTACTTATTACAACAGAAAGAATCATAATTTTAACGAACAGCATGATATGTCATAGGAAAGGTTAACAGAGGCACTCTTGTGATCTAGTCAGTATCCCTTGGGCAAAACACTGAGCCCCTCCAACTGACTACCTCCCACAATGCTTTTGGCCTTCTTTAGATATTTGCAGATAAAGCTCTTTGGGCAACTCTGCTCATTCCTAATAATTGATGAAAGCCTTTTCAAGTGAACACCAAAACCATTGAGACCTTTGTGGATAGGAAATGAGGACAGGAATTGGGTAGAAAACTCAGTGAACTGAGAAACAATTATCCACCTGCTGATGGATAAGGAAGAGTGTTATTAGATAACAAGATTCTGGTACTTCTCTTAGTCCAAAGATTCCTTTCCCAGATGAGCAAAAGATGCAAGTCCTTGGGAATGTTCGAGAAGTTAGACAGTGAGAAGAGAAGGAACAGGCAGAAGGTACAGCTATGTAGTCTACCTCAAAGAACCTAGCAGAATCCAGATGAATTTGACTGTGTTTATATTTTTTGGCACTTTTCTACAAAAGGGATCCAAGAGAATTTCAGAAATGGGGCTGTTAACCTTCAACACACCCTGGTGGAGTTCACAGATGGGGGCAAAACAAAACAAGTCCAGAGAAGCCAAACTGTTATTATTGTTGAATAAAAATCACAATTGAGGAGAAACAGATGCTGAAGAGATATACTAAGATAGGAAAATGCACTACGATCAAGAAAACAGTCAAACAAGGACAAGGTGTAGGCCCCCAAAAGAAAAGCAAGAGAGATCAAGTTCCCATTTTAAAATACATAGTGTTTGAGAATGCCAAGCCATAAAAGTGCACATAGAGTTCTGACTTTGGCCTAAACATTTGATTTTCAGTAATGGAAAAGAGAGAGAGAGAGAGAGAGAGAGAGAGAGAGAGAGAGAGAAGGAGGGAAGGAGGGAGGGAGAGAGGGAGGGAGAGAGAGAGAGAGAGACTGGATTGCTCAGCGGTTAAGAGCACTGACTTGTCATACAGAGAACCTGGGTTCAATTCCCAGCACCTACATGGCAGCTAACAGCTGTCTGTAACTCCAGTTCCAGGGGATCTGAAGCCCTTCTCCTGACCTCTGCGGGCATTGTACAACACGAGTGCGCTTACCTACATGCAGGCACTACACTCATACACATAAGACAAAATAATAACTAAAAATATTATTTAAAAAAGGAAGGAAGAAAGGAAGGAATGAACAAACAAAAGGAAAAGAGATACAATCTTGCCATGAAATTTCTGAATCGCCAAAAATAATTATTTATACAGGGCTATTGTTTTCAGAACATCATATATGTGCTGTCTTCTCAGACCCTAGTAAGCTGATGACTTGGTGAATCTAGCAAAGAAAATAGGGAAGAGTAGGTGAAGAGAGCTGTTTTAGTCTGATATAACAGTCTTGCAAAAGGCTCATATGTCAAAGGTAGATATAGTAATTGAGAGGGCATTGGCTCATGAGAGTTCTGACCTAATCAATAGATTAATCAATTGGTTGATTGGTGTGAAATATTGAAAGGGGGTGAAACCTGTGGAAGATGAGGCCTCCTTGGGGGAAGTAGGTCACTGGAGGCGTGTTCCCGGGGGTTCTGTCTAATTCCTGGCCCCTACCTCTCTCCTCATGCTCTCTCCTTCCTTACTTCTGTGAGGTTGGCAGCTCTGCTCCACCACTCCCTTCCATCATGACGTTCTGCCTCAGCATAGGCCCCAAACATGGCCCATGTACTCTGTCACAGCAAAAGTCTAACACAAGAGAAAAAAGAAGAATGGAGAATGCTGAGTCCTGTGTGCCAGACCCAACATAATCTGATGTGCATCTGTCCTGCTCTACTTTGCCTTTTCAAAAGAAAATGCAATTCTTTCTGGGAATAATGAATTATTTTACTTGGTTTCTTTTATTTAATTAATTAATTAATTATTATTATTTATTTATTTATTTATTTTTGAAAGACAAGGTC